CTTTGTTGCGTTGTACCGTGTGTGCCGCACTACCTAGTTTATATTAGCCTTTTTTCTCGTTGTTGCTCTCACGCTTTCATCGACGTTCACGAACAGTTCCGGACAACCGTTCCTCATCTTCTCGTTCCTCATCGCACGGGACCCCTAGTGATGATGGTGGCACCATGCAAACGCTATATTTAACTTGTTGTGATGGTGAGCACGGAACACATTGTTGATGCATTCATTTACCTGGCGGCTAGCAGCGATACTTATGACATTTGACGACTGGCACGACTTCGAACATGATGTACCGCACGCGCGACTGCTGTCAGTTGTTTGACACATGTGCTGCTGCCGGTCCGGTCCTCAAGGATGTGTGCCGCCTGTTGCCGGAACGCAACTGACTGAGGTCGTCACTCGCCACACGTATCCGGTGTCAACAGAATGGTCATTTATCTCGCGCTGACGACAAGACAAGTGTCGCGTTGTCTCCCGTTGGCCGTTGCCTCCATCCCATCATTCACTCGCCACAACCTCCGCTACACGTTATCATCAACATCACTGGTCGAGCAAGCGACACGACGACGACCGACCACTAATAAGCTTCCTGCCGACCTACCGATCGAACCACTGCGCGCACTTCCTGCCCATCCGTCTGTCTGTCCGTCCGTTTCCCGACACCACCGCTGACGCTTGTTAACGACCTCGGCGTCGTAGAGAATCAGGGAAGTTGTTCGTCTTCGTCTTCGTCATTCCTTCCCCGTTCAACAACATCTGATGACGAGTAACCTTCCTCAATGGACTTACAGTACTCCTAGATTCTGCCATTCCTAAACTTCACACTTATGTAACCTTCGTCATCATACACCTGCAACACATGCAGTTTATATACATACAACAACCAGTCATGTCTTTTTCCCTCTCCTGTTGAAAAAAAGCCACTTAACGGTTGTACCCCAAAATTTTGTCTTCTGCATTACTCACACAAAGCAGATTTGTCTCATACCATTTAACTGAACGCAACGCAGGTTTTCGTGCAAGCATGCCACCTGAACCGAACAAACGTGTGCCCGCTCTGCACTCCTTTTGTTACGGTATCAATTGTATCGAGGTCGTTCCATCTGGTTGGAGGACTTCCTGCCAGCCGCCTGCCATCAAGATTTGAGTTCAGTGGTGGCACGGCGATGCAGTGCCTAAGAGCTTGGCTTCGAACTCGAACTTGGGAGGTTCCGAGTTCGATTCCAGCGACGGGCAATCGTTGTGTATCTTTACCACGAATTTCCCTCAACA